AGTGGTCTTGTTTGCGCTTGGCCGCGAAGAACCCCTCCCAATCCTGATGGAGAGGATTCACGCAGTCGTTGCAGCTGGCATGCTCGTTGTGTTGGGTGCAGGAAATAAGCATATGGACATGGACAAGGTCAAGTACTATCCTTGTTCCGGCCGTGAACTACTCAGCGAAGGAGTTATCTGTGTTGCAGGAACAAAGGGTGCCAAAATGCAGCTTTACGACGGAAGTAATTTCGGCTCAGATGTTGATATTGCCGCTCCGGGTTACAGAATATTTGAAACAGATCTTGGTGGGTTGTATGGCGCCGGTACGGGCACTTCGGCTGCCGCTGCCATCGTAGCAGGTATTGCTGGGATGCTCTACACAGGGTGTTCTCTTTTGGCGTTTTCAAAGTGATCTTGCAATGTTGCTGCAATTTGCTGCAATTTGCACTGCTATATAGGCAATTTGGAGCAATTTGTGCAACATAGGAAACATGAAGAGATCATCTCCTTTCGCACTTCGCAGAAACACTCGTATATCGCTCTTCGTGTCGAGCTGATATACAAATCTCTCTGTCTTCGATTGCAAACGTTGCAATGCAGTGATCCATCGAATAGTCTCTGAAGCGAGAAAGAACTTTACGGGACTGAGCTCAGTTATCTTGAGGGAATTTCCTGCTCTAGATGCGGCAGACCCTGCCGAACACGATGGTTGATAAGCGCAAGGACTTTCCCCAAGCTTTCCGGAGAGGTAAAAACGTAACTGGGAATGATAAAACTTTTATCATAGAAGTCGGAACGGTAGGTCAGCAGAGTTCCTGGCAGCGCCAGGCTGGGACCACAAAGCGGATTTCCCTGAATCAGTGCATTTCTCGCTCGCCATAAAATGGCCGAGCGCGGTGCATTATGGTCTCCACTGACCATCAAGCGCAAGTGACCAGTTTGCTCATCCTCAGTCTGATCAACTCGGGTACGACCGTTGCCAAGTTCTATAATCGCCGTTCAGTGTGCATCGCCAACCCCAAACTACAGGACATCGACAGCACAGCTTTGGTACCCTCATCCCCATCTTGAAATCCACACCGAGGGTCCGAAGCGTGCTGTCTTTGCGTGAAAGCAAATCGATCGTTGAGGCAATCGAGAAAATAACCCGTATAGTCAACTGCGGGCTCTTTAG